ACAAATCAGAGGTTTATTTCAAAAATTAAGGTTGTATGTCCGGTAACATTTTGATTCTAAATAAAATATCAGATATAGTGTTATATCTGTAGTCCTCAGGCGAGGTACTGGAGAACTCAGATAGACACCACACTCCTTTTTGAAGTTCCTGAACTAATCTTATTTCATGCCCCATAATCGAAGATTTGGGGGCATATAATTCTTGCCCTGTCCGTCTGTCTGTTTGTCCACAAAATCTTTAACCTTGCCCATAACTTTTGTTTGGTTGGAGCTATTCCTTTCATACAACAAATGTGTATTCCATGTGACAAGACCTTTCTTAAGATACCATGAAAAGTTACCTTTTGACCTTGGCCTTTGAGTTTGACCCAGTTTTGCAAATTTTACCCAACTTTAACTTGGACATAACTTTTGAACAGCTGGTGCTAGCGCTTTCATATTTCAATTGTGTAATTCTTGTGACAAGACCTTCCTTTGAATACCAACAACTTTGACCCTTTCACATTGACCTTGGATTTTGACCTACTTTTGAAAAACTTTAACCCTGGTCATAACTCTTGAACAGTTGGTGCTAGGGCTTTCATACTTCACATATGTTATTCTTGTGGCAAGACCTTTCTTTGGATACCAACAACTTTGACCCTTGGACCTTGACCTTGAAGTCTGACCTACTTTTGTAAGACTTTAACTTTGACCATAATTTTTGAACGGTTGGTGCTAGGACTTTCATATTTCATGCAGGGTTATATGAACACATGCTATTTATAAGTTCATCTAAAAATTGAGAAAAATTAAATACTTTAAAAACTCTCACATTTCCTGGAAGCAAGATAATCTTTGAACTACAAGTGCGTGTTTTTTATGCTTTTATGAATGCAAAAGGAGGAAGAAGCTTCAAATCCTGTGCTTCCCTTTCTATTGATTTACGGTAAAATCTTGTTATATTTGTATCAGTTCCCGCTTTCAGTATAGCAGTACCAAGCAGTGTAAGTACAAGATTTAATAATCTCTCAAAGGCATGTCTTTTCACCGATCACATTCAAATGGTTTTTTGTATATATAAATAATAATTATGAGTTCAGTCATCAATTTAAAAAGAGGGGTGGTGTAAAAGTACTTCTCATCACTCAGCAAGTCTCAAGGCAGAAAAACAAGATTCCTAATGCTAGTGGGGAAAGCTGAAAGCTCATACTATTGAAACTATATTGTAAGTGATTGCTAACACAAAATTCATGACCTCTGTTGGGAAATTATAGTAGTTATCACAATTAGACTTTAAATGGACTTACAGATAAATTTCCTTGTTATTTTTATTTTTTATATTTTTTTTCCAAATGAAATAATCAAAGTAATTGCAATTAAATAATAATTTCTGAATCAAGTATTAAAAATGGTTATATATATATATATATATATATATATATATATATATATATATATATATATATATATATATATATATATATATATATATATATATATATATATATATATATATATATATATATATATATATATATATATATATATATATATATATATATATATATATATATATATATATATATATATATATATATATATATTTAACTTCACTGTAATTGATTCCTTAAATGACTGTTACCAACATCCTTTAGTCTGGTGATCTAATTCCCTTTATTGCTGGAGTTTTGATGAATTTATCTCCCTTACTCCAGAGCAACTAACAATACACACAAAGCTTTCTTAAAGAAGTTTTTTTTTGTGTATATTTTGAAGCAGAATTTCATCATTAATACATTAAGCTCAGCAACCAATTTTTTGGAGAGAACATGCCTTTTTCTTCGACAAACAAAAAAAGAGTCCAATTGAACATAATTATTCTCTTTTCAGTAAATATTTAAGAATTCAAAATATGTTTGATGAATTTGCATGATTAATGCAAGATTGCAGCTTTTTCACAAATTAACATAAACATTCAACATTTAAATTTTAAAATAAAAACCGTAAATATTTCATAAATTATAACATCTTTAAATGTGAAAAAAAACTACAACACATATATTAGCATTATCCATAATTCCTGGGGGTGATTGGGTGTTTAAAAATTGCTAATAAAATTTAAGGGAAGTGACGTAAGAAGAACAGGGTATTTTATAAGATGGATTATGGTTATTCGGGTATTTTATTTACATAAATATGCTAAATATCTTCATCATTTTCATTTATAATTTATTCATTTTTAAAAAGATATTAAGATGCTTAACAAATTATGCTCAAATAACGAACAGTGGACGAGATTCGATTCATAATTGATAGTCAACACCTTCTTACATGTACAAGTGGTAAAAAACATTCTGCGACAAAGTCATTGAAAAAAATGAATGGCAGTTGCAAACTCACGGAAAAAGTCTAGAAAACTATAACAAACATGCCATAGTACTAAGTAATATCCTGTACTACATGTGTCATGCATGGAAAGGCATACTGTACAACATGTCTTTCCTCTACTGCAGTAATACATGAACACCTGAAGTAAATAAAATGAAAGTAAATCCACTTAATCCAGTCTCTGTTAAAATTATCACTCACTGAGAACACCTTTCACCTCTTCATACTTTATTCAGTTGTCACTTGTGTTGAAAACTCATTCGCATACCCAGAATTAGTCTTTCATTAAAAAAATCAACCTAAAGTACTTTTACGGCAAAGTCTGAAAACGTTATGATTGACTGCGATCAGCTGGCTCAGAATTTTATTCTGGCCCAAAAATTTATTAATATTAAAATTGGTTTCTGCATTCTTTCTACATGCAAAATCCTATTTTTTATTAATTATTCGAAGTACTCTATGACATATTATTAGCATTTGCATAGAAATCTGTGTAAATTAATGTTAATCTCACTTCTAATCTGAAAACTATATGCTCTCACCAAGGAGTTCATAAGATGACATATTTCTGTTGAAATATGCTTTTTAAAAATTAAAACGGTCATTAATATGTACGAATTTAGATGGTTTTACTCAATCATCTTCAGGATATCAAACCGGTAATTGTTTTCACTGTATAATTCTACTAATTCTACAGGCCTGTAGCAACAATTTAAACAAGGATGGGGATAGCTGACATAAATAGTTCCTGTCAAAAACCTTCAATATTTTACAAAGTACATAAAATATCCTAAGCACAGATATTAAAGCTGAGAAAAAAAACAAGAGAAAATTTAAAATTTATCAAAAAAAATCTTTATTATACATAGAAATACAATTAAGATCATTTTGATTGGTCAGTTAGCGGTGATATTTACATAAACAATGGTGACGTATTTAAGCAGGTTTTATAGCATGCGTGAGAACTGAGATAGACAAATAGCACAATTACAGATAAGATTGGGGAACACGTTTTAGTAATATTTCTTACAAAGAATTGTTTTTATTCATTTCTCTAAACCGTAGTTGCTTTGGTGACGTCCGAATTCCACTTTTGTTTGAATTTATCTAGTACAAAAGTTTTGCTTTCGATTTCAAAGGTGACTTTGCCAAATATTTGAAAGTCAACAATTTTTAAAATAATTGGGACATTATTTACGCAAGCAATCTTTATCGTATTTTGGTATATTAAAGTCCAACCTATTTGACATCATGGACAGCTGTTATTTCAATAAACATGGAACTCGTAAAATTTGCTTACCTTGTCATTGGTCTTCCGCAAAATTATTTTATTGAAAAAAAAAATATTCTGATTGTACACACAAGTACTCCAATGTTGATATTAAAAATATGCTTGAGTTTCTAATTGACAATAACTATCTAGTTTTTGGAGATAAAATCTTCCAATAATCTGACAGAATTCCTGTGGTACTAATTGCGCCCCTTTATAAGCAAATCTATCTTTAAATTCACATGACGCAGGATTTATTCAAAATCTTCTGCATGAGAAGAAGACACTTGCTGTGACCTTCAACTCTACATTTAGATATATCGACGACGTATTATCAATTAACTATAGTTACTTCCACTCATTTGTTGGCTCGATATATTCCAGTGAACTTGAAATAAAACATACCTCAGAGCCTGACACATCTGTTGCATATTTGGTAATTTTACTAGAAAAAGCCGTTAATGGTAACCTAACAAAAAAACTTTGTGATAAACTTGAGGACCAACTTTAAGTAGCAATATACCATTATCACCTGCATATGGAGTTTATGTCTCCAAGTTGATTCGATGGGCAAAGTATGCTCTACGTACGAACAATTTCTAAATGAGACACGCTATTGACAACAAGTTGATGAAGTAAGGATATCAACAGTCTCATTTGAAGTCAACATTTTGCAAGTTTTGTGGTCGATACAATGACCTTGTCAGCATATACAAACTATCATTAAGTCGAATGCACTGGTAGAGTGTCTGCTCTAGAGTCGCGGAGTAAGGAGTTGATCCTTACGTCGCGGGTTCGAATCCCACCGTGGGACCTGGAGACAGGTCCTTCGGATGAGACCGTATAAACCAAGGTCAAGTGTCGCAGTGAGTGCTGGCAAGAAAAAGATCCCTCACTGCTCAATGGCCCTAAGTGCCGAGAACAGGTCAAAATTTGCAGCTCTCCACCGCGGCAAGTGTTTCCATGTGAGTGAAAAATTCTCGAGAGGGACGTTAAACAACAAACAAACAAACAAAAACATTAAGTCGAATGCCGACTCACGTTTTCATACTAATTGTTAGGCCATTATTTACACACTGAATTGTCTACAAATTCAAAACATTTTTTCTGATTCTAAATTTCGATTCTAATATAAAAAAGGGTCTTTTTACCACTTATTATTATAATGACTATCAAATGAGTTTTAACTTACACACACACACACGCACGCACACACACACACACACAGAGGCAGACAGTAGTGGTCACCCGAGTCACACTATATCACTATCATTCATTATATAGATTAATAAATCCTTGTTAGGTCCACATTAATCTTCAATTTGCACGTAATAACACAAGTGTTTGTCTCAATTTCAGAATGGCAGTTTGGGTGACAACTACTGGGTCTCACATACCAGAAGGGGCAGTGAGAGGTGGTTTTGAGGCTGACGGGCGCCCACTTTTTATTGCCCGGGCACAAATTGAGGGGATCATGACGCCTGGAAAATGTGGATTTCATCTTCCAGGAGCTCAAATCCCATTTGGCATGATAGAACAAATTATCTATCTGTACGATGTTTTGGTTCATCCCACAAGAAGTCCAGGTTTTTTCGATTGGCGGAGAGCCTCTGAAGGGAAAGTGCCGTCTAATGCCTACAAGACGGATAAGGACACCTATATTGGTAGAGCTTTCTACCAAGGTAGCCTCGTGCCAGGGAAAATTGCTACCGGTTACCCTCACTGGTGTGCATACATTGGCCATGGAGGAAACGAAATAAGTATTACGGATTATGAGGTCCTCTGTGAGTTAAAATAAAACCGTAAAAAGTTTTGGAAAGTTCTGATAAAGTGACATTTGCATACGTGAATATCTAAGTCCTTTTGGGACCAAAGAATTAATTTGATGTAGAAAACACCAGTCATCCTCTAAAATGAAAAACATGTAGTGCTAAACGTTTAATTAAGAGGAGCAAGACCTTGAACTGAAAAAAATCTGGTCAATAAATATTTCTCAAATTTTGTATATTAATAATTTAGTATGCTACATATCCTAAATCAGATCTGTCATCAGATTTCCTGACTCGCTTAAAGGCAGAGATTTTTTACCGGGTGGTAAATTCCGGGTGAGGGAGGGGCTTATTTCGTACAGGTGTGAATGCCTTGAGGGCTAGCAGACTACCTGTGGTCGTCTGTCTCCTAATCCCTATACACAGGAAGTGATTTAATACACAGTGGAGTACCTAAGAAGTCAAACTTTACCTATGTTGGGATTTAGAGATGATTTTAAGTTAGAAATAAAAAGTTGTAAATAAAGTTTAGTCTAAATAATTTTTATTAATTGTAATTGAATGTGTGTCAAAGCATCCCCACTCATTAAAAAAAATTTAATTATCAAAATATTTGTTGAGCTTTGAAAAAAAAATTATACCAAATTTTGATATATATTATCATAAAGAATATCATAATTATTTTTAATACTAAAGGTGTGTATGTATATTATCAAGCTAAATATTCTATAGTAATACAGCTTCTCTGAATTGTTTATACCATGTGTGGTAAATATCAAAGGATCAAATGTTAATTTGAAGGTCACCACGAGTGCCAAACAATGTGTACAGGGTATACACAGGGACTAGTAAGTAAATGTCAATCAAGTTCTAGCACCCAATGATGTACCTTAATGCACTTGATTGACAGGGGTACACAGACCAGGTATTTTGGAAGGCGGTGCTTAAAATCTCTGCCTTTAAAGGATTTCGCTGCAAATATATTGCTCCGTAAAGTGTCAGTATGAAGTTTTGGTTCTATATGTTTATAGGTCCATTATTGAGTCCGGATCGGAAATCTTAAGCACAAATAAAATATATGTATGAATATATATATATATACCTTTTTAAGTTTTTTTTTTCTTCAGAGTATGAGTTGAGGTTAAAATTTTTAACGCAAGTTTTATATTTCACACTACATATGGAATAGAGAAATTTTTAAGGCTTTAATGACAAAACATTCATTTTGGAAACAATTCTAGCAATCAATATTTAGTTTTCTTTGCATGAACTCAAGCCCTTAAGTAATTAACTGTAGCAATATAGAAAGGTGAAGATAGTTAATATGGTTTACTATAGATAACTATAGTAATTCAAAGGTATCACTATTTTGTCACTATACTATATCAAAGAGTCAAAGCGTTCAATATCGGACGCCCCGTTGTAAACAAAAATGTCGTCAGTTCAACCGCTCAACGGCAATATTTATGATTGGTAGAGTGGTAGATAGATGTGTATAGTTTCTCACAAAATTGAAATTATTAATTAATAATTTAGTAACTTAGTACTTATTAGCCCCAATAATAATTTTAGTAAGCAAATCTAACACTTGATGAGTCATTGGAGTGATGTGATGTTGAATACTTACTGGACAGACAATGATATTGCACACTTTTAAATACTGGAAAATTAATAAACTGGAAAATTCTCATTAATTTTGAGTTATTCAACTGACGAAATCAATGGAAAATGTTATAGCTTAATTATAAAGGAGTTATTGTACTGAAATGGGTGCATATTAGAACTCGTTGGCTGTACAAATGCAAACTCGTACCAATATCCAACAAATTCTTGGTACGGTAAAAAATACTTAAATAATTAGAATAAATAAAAACACATTCAGAGCGTTTTATTGAAAGTTGGTTTTGCATTAACTATACGAGTATTCGCCAAAAAAATACGAAATGTGAGCATTCAATGTCGAAACGCTTAAACACCGTTGGTGGCGATAATTATGATGGGTATTGGCAGCTAGGTAACCTGTGTTTATTTCTACAAAAAATTGAAATTAATTATCTACTGCCTATTAGTCTCAATAAAAACTTCAATAAGGAAATCATAATGCTTGTTGGGATCATTGGAATGAGGTATGGAATATATAATGAACACTTCCAGCATAGACTTTGACATTGCACACTTTTAATGTAAATACCAATATTGAATAATTCTCAATAATTCTGAGTTTTTTCATTTAAGTAAATGATAAAAATCAATGGGAAAATGTTCTAGCTATATAATAAATAAGTTATAGAACATATTTTGGTGAATATTGGGCACTCGTTGGCCCTTTCATTCGGTCAATCCATAGATGTATCAACTTCACACTTCAGGATTCGCACTTCGTGCTCGGTCGATATGCTCTTTTGTGAATTCGATATCCTCATGAAGAGGCTATATTAATTTAGTACAGTTTCTATTAGCAGAACAGTTATAAAAAAACAAATTTTGATAAGTAAAACAAAAATACTAGTAAAATTAAATCTGAATGCAGAATCATTGCCCTCATGATTAATTCTGCTTTGAAAAAAAACATTTTCCTTCCTTATTGCTGGGAAATGCTAGATAAAGAGTTCGTCTTTCTCTGGCGGAAATTCGTAAAGATTACTTGTGCTTAATCATAATGAACCTTAAAATTGTTTTTTTGTAAATACCATGTAGTATGTTCTAAACAAATTTTTGCTACTGTTTTCATCTTTTCTTTAAAAATAATTCGTAGAAGATGTTTAAATATAAATAAGTGCACATGAAACTTAACATCCAAAATAATATACAACAATCACATTTTCACACATGGATTGCATAACTGTGAAAATAATAGCTACGTGAGGACGCCACTCTACAAGTTGCGAGAATGCTTAAAAAAACTTATCATCACTAAAACTGTTAACGTTATACGCGAGAAATTTAGGGAATTCCCCTACTATACGTACCCGTATACGTACACGTATGAAATCTCAACATCTCTGTTGTTTTTGTACCAAATCGTTTACTACAGTAGCATACTAGCTAATTCATATTAAAATGTATTAGTGAAAGACAACAAATAACACACGTGAGACAATGTCAAAAAAATATTTTATATTTGCTTGACAACTAAGCTACAGGGTCAATAGAAATCTGTTTTTATATCCACTATTGCGCCCCGTTATGAGCAGATTTATTTTTGTATTCATATGAAGCAGAATTTAATCAAAAACTTATACATTAGAAGAAAACACTTGTTGTGGCCTTCAACTCGACATTTAGATATATCGACGACGTATTATCAATTAACAATAGTAACTTTCATTCATAAGTCAACTCGATACTTCCCAGTGAACTTGAAATAAAAGATACCATAGAATCTGACACATCTGTTTCATACTTGGATATTTTTCTAGAAAAAACCTTTAATGGTACCCTTACAACAAAACTTTATGACAAACATGATGACTTCAATTTCTCTAACTTCCCTTACTTATGTAGCAATATACCCTTATCACTTCCATATGGGGTTTAAAACTTCCATTTAGATACAAGAGCATGTTTTACGTAAGAACTATTTCTAAAAAGAGTCGAGCTATTATCAAAGAAGTTGATGAAGCAAGGATATTAAATGTCTAGTTCAATGTCATCATTTCGGAAGCTCTGTGGTCGACACAATGACATTGTCAGCAAAAACAATATAATATTAAGTCGACTGCTTACTGACGTTTTTCATACTAATTGTTGGGCCATTATTTAAACACTGAATTGTTAACGGATTTTTCCGATATTTCCCGATCATGACAATGAGCACACGGCGGTGTGATCTGTCGACAGGGGATGCTTACTCCTCCATGGTATCCAATCCCACTTATGATGTTTTTAGAGGTCTGTGTTTGCTCTGCTCTCGATTTGTATTGTTTCAATGGACTTTTTTGCTTGATTGCTGTTCGTTATCTCCATATTTCATTGCAGTGTCTGTATCAGTAAAGGGTGATGTACTCGGGCATACACATAATGTGTTCAGTAATTCTAAAATCACTGAAGTCCTGAAACTATTTTGAATTGACTACTTTCCCCTTTCTGCTATGAGATCTTGAAATAAGTATTTTACAATTTTCAAAATCGCGATAATAACTTTTATCCAAGAGTTACAAGTCAAATAAAACGATAATGCAAAATATGTACATTTACTTCGTTTTCCCATAATAAGAAATAATAAGCAATTTCAAATGATATCTATACATAACACATAGGACTGTCGGGCTTAAGAATATAAAAACACTACTTAATATTTACAAACAAAATTTCTGCTTACGTGTCATCAATATGTATAATAATGAAAGTTTATTCGATAAAATTTTCAAAAGAAATACATTTCAGAATTGTGCACTTTCTTCTTTTACGGTAGAAGCTGTTCCGTTAGCTCTTCCGTTTATTGAACAAACACAAGGGGTAAAGAAGAAATATTTAAAATTGCGTATAATACAGGGGGTTCTATATCTATATATATTATGCTTTCATGTAAATTAGTTGAATCTGATTCGTCGAGAAACATTTGTTAGAAAACACGATTACCCGCTGAATAATGAAACCACGCTCTCCAGCGTAGCAACAGTTAACACTGCTTGACGACGGGTTATATTCCAGAAAATATTGACTGCGCAGAATTTATGCGCGCAAGGTTCACTGTAATATGTATTTGTATGAAACATTCAGTATAATATAATAAATATTGCATGTAGTTGAGTGTAACATTGAAAATTTTCACCCCAAGAAAACCATTGTCAACCTCAGCTGCGCCTCGTTTGACAATGGATTTCTTGGGGTGAAAATTTTCAATATTAAACTCAACTACATGCAATATTTATATAATATATAATGTTGTTATCGGTAAATGTCTATAATTTTCCCTCCAATGGTCTAATATCGAACAAGGAACACACGTTTAGGATTTTTTTTTTGGTTTTAGTTATTTTGAGCATGATATTTATAGCTACATTTTGCTAAATTTGTCTTTGTAAAACGCAAAAAGCAATGGAAATTTTTATCTTATAATTTGTTTCTTAAAAGGAAATAACCCAAATTATAAATTAGATGACACTTCGGATTTTCATTTACAATCCTAAATTTTTGCTGTGCTGTATCTGTGCATACTCAGAACATTTAAAGGTATGTAGAATTTTCATATTTGAGTCTAGATTTTTTTGTTCTTATATTAATTTAGTATTTATCGCGTACTGAAATAATCAAGTTTATCAGAAGTATAAGTACACAAACACACACGAATTCATAGGCGCAACATTTACTTAATTAACTAATTAAATTAATTTAATTAATTAATGATTGTGCACATTAATGATACCGATATTTTACTAAAACAAGTTTTATTTACAGTTGAAGCTTGGTATCAGATATGCAAAGTGTACACTTGTTGTTTGTATACTTTTAATTTTTGTGGTCCTATCATAGCAAAGGGGACCAACGTCATCGGGTTCAAAGGTGTGTGAAAGTCAGTCAACATATCGGGTCTCAGTGGGTCAGTGGATGGAGCGTTGACACAGTAAACAAGAGACCCTGGGTTCGAATCCCGGTTGAGACTCAATTTTTCACCACATGTGACACAAAATCTAGATCAGAAGAAACTTAAATCTAAGTGATGCTTTCATTAACCATATTAATTTAAGTATGACCCTGTATTCATGACAAAATTGTCATGACTTTTTTCCTCTAAAACCGACCCTTTCTGCAATCAAGAAGTCATAATTGTGAAGAAAAAAATTAGTTTTATAATAGATTTGATTATTGCAATTTGACTAATTCTTGTCCTTTTGATCTTGAAGATCTTGAAATGTAAGCAAAATGTACTTATATCCTGAGATTTTGTTAAATTTTAGAATGGCAGTTTGGGTTACAACCACCGGATCAAACATACCAGAGGGGGCAATAAGGGGTGGATATGAAGCAGATGGGAGACCACTTTTTATTGCCCGGGCACAAATTGAAGGCATCATGACGCCCGGAAAATGTGGATTTCATCTTTCTGGCGCCCATATTCCATTTGGCATGAAAGAACAAATCATAACTCAGTACGAGGTGTTAGTTCATCCTTCGAGAAATCCTGGCTTGTTTGATTGGCAGAGGGCTTCTAACGGCAGCGTGCCATCAAATGCTTACAGGACAGACAACGAAACCTATGTTGGGAGAGCATTCTACCAAGAGAGTTTAGTGCCAGGAAAAATTGCTTCTTCTGAGCCTCACAAGTGTGCATACATAGGATATGGAGGGACCGAAATCAGTATTAAGGAATACGAGGTCCTGTGTCAGATAAAATAAATCCTGAAGAGAATTTGGAAAGTTATTTCTTAAATGGGACAAAATGAATATCAAAGTCTTTTGAAGTGAAAATATAAAAACAAAATGATGCACGATATAGAAAGGATCAAGTATTCATTAAATGTGTGTTTTGTACTTAAAATAATTCTAACACAAATATACTAGTAGCTCTGTAAACATTATTCAACTTTTTTTCAATTTTTATTCTAGCAAAGTAAAAATAAGGAAAAAATATATACATCTTGTTTTTGTCATATAACCTTTATTTTCTTAAAACACATTTGGTGTCTATCAAAATTCTCTACTTCGATGAGACTAGACAATAATTTTAGTATACGTAAAATGTAAATGATATATGGTACCAATTTTGATGCACCAGATGCGCATTTCGACAAATTATGTCTCTTCAGTGATGAAATCCAAAATACGAGGGGTGATCAAAAAATTCGCGAACTAATTGAATTACTTCCTTAAAAGAAATAAAAGGAGGTTTCAGTGTTCATTATTTTTTAAAGCAGTCCTCTCCGATTTTAATGCACATCTCCCATTGTTCTGCCCATGCGCAAATCACGTGATCCAGGCGGTCATGTGACATGCTCCGTAGCGTTCTGTTCACAGAAGCTAAGAGATTTTTCCAGTCTTATATTTCTTACCATGCAAGTTATTTTTATAACAAGAACAGACCATCTGTCAGAAGCGGCCAAATTTCGGCAATAGGATGGGTGGATAAGGATATCCCTTCCCAGAATTAGCATGGTGACCATCACAACCCGAGTCCTATGTCTCGGGAGCGTCGTTTATCCAATGTCGAAAAAGTATGGGCGCCTTCTTTTTTTCATATCTCATAAGTTTAAAGTCTAAAGTAAACGATATCTTAGGGATTTAATAATTATATTATTGTTCAGATATTCAACTATTTTTCTAACTGTAAATTGGCCATCTTTCAAAACAAATTGCTCAACTAAGGACACATCTTTTCACCGGCTTGCTTTCGCCGGGCAACAGAACAAACATCATTTTTAATCATTTCCCTGCCTTCACTAAAACAATCAATCCATTTAATTATTGAACCTCTGGGAAGTGTTTTGTCTTCATTAACCTTGTACAAATTATCATATTTTAGTGCAAAGGAATATCCGAGATATACACTTCCGAGATGTACGTTAAACTTTATAGCCGTTCGTTGCTCGAGTGCGACTGAGTCAACCATTTTTTGTTACAAATCACCTACACATTGAGGTCATTTTCACACTGTGACGTCACAAACACGGAGCAAAACATTATATAACATCTGCTATTTATAGAACATGTGTATGACTATATGTGGGCCAAATTTCATTCTGATGTGAATTGTGGTTTTGTAAATATAGAGATAGTTCTCGAACTTTTTGATCACCCCTCGTATTTAAATAAAAAAGACTGAGGATCTGAAAAAAAGACTGGAGCAAAATACGCCGAAGGATCAGAGTTATGCGTGAGGGAGATAATCCTTAATTTTGAAATAAATTTCTAGATTTTACCACAGCAAGTAAATAATATATATCCGAATTTTTAAACTAGTACCGAAGCTACTGGGCTGTAGAGACCCTCTGGGACTTACAGTCCATCAGCAGAGGTCTCGATCCAGGGGTCATAAATGTAAATCATATACGGTACCAATTTTGATGCACCAGATGCGCATTTCGACAAATTATTTTTCTTCATAAAAGTCTTATGATGAGTATTATACTTATTTGATATCAAAGTCCGGCCAGTATAAGTACAAAGAATATATGATATTTTGCACTTATTTCAATAGATCATAGTTCAGAAAGTCAGTAAATCTGATGATCTAATCACATGTTTAATGATATATTCAAAATCATTCATGTTCAAGTGTCAAGAACAAAATACAATGGTATATTCTATTTAAGTAGATTTCAGTGTGAGTTAAAGCTCAAGTTCAAGGTCAGAGGGTAGGCATACCCATTAAATTTTAAGTTCTTTTATAAGCAATACAATAGCTAAAAATCAAATCCATTCCATTTACACTTTGATATCATGTGATAGAAGGACGAAGGACGTAGGAAAAGGCAGACTGATATATATATATATATATATATATATATATATATATATATATATATATATATATATATATATATATATATATATATATATATATATATATATATATATATATATATGCACGTGTATATATATAGGAAGCACCACTAACACTGTATATCCTACTTAAGTGTCGGATCTATTAAATAGATACAAGGTCAAGGATGGAAATTTATATAAAGCACTAAATATTGACACGAACAATAAAAATTGTCAAATTTTCGGGACGTCCTGTTAATTCCTCAGGACAAAAAAAAAAAGTTAAGGGGTTCTTGAACATAAAAACAAAGGAAATAGAAAAACAAAAACGGCTAGCACTACTACTAAACTACCAAACACTATAACACTATTTATTTACAATGTTACATGTTTAATTTGAAGTTTATAATCAGTTGTAAAGAAAGAAATCCGGACCGCTATGAAATACTTCCGGTCTCTCGGGTGTACTGGTGAAGTTTTTTGAGATCAAGTCTTCCAACAATCTGTCAGAATTCCCGTGGGTCATAATTGCGCCACGTTATTAGCGGGCTTATTTTTGTATTAATATGAAACAGAATTTATATTTAAAACTTCTACGTGTAAAGAAGATGTCTCTTGCTGTTGCCTTCAATTTAACATTTAGATATATCGACGACATTTTATCAAATAACAATGTTCATTTTCATTCCTATGTTGATTCGTTATATCCATTTGAACTCAAAATAAAAGATTCCACAGAGTCTGACACATCTGTTTCATATTTGGATATTTTACTAGAGAAAGACTTCAATGGTAACCTAACTACAAAACTTTATGATAAACCTGATAAGACGTCAATGGTAACCTAACAAAAAAACCTTGATGACTTCAACCTTTCTACTGTCAACTTTCCTTATTAATGTAGCAATATACCGTTATCACTTGCAGATGGAGGTAATGTCTCTCAGTTTATTCGATAGAAAGAGCATGTTCTACGTTCGAACAATTTCTTAAACGAGGCAAACTATTGACGAATAAGTTGGTGAAACAAGAATAATATTAACAGTTTCGTTTAAAGTCAACATTTGCAAATTCTGTGGTCTATACAAAGACCCCATCAGCAAATACAATCTATCATTACGTCGAATGTTGACTGACGTTTTCCATCCAAAATGTTTGGCCACTATTTTACACTAAATTGTCTATGGAGTTTGCCCGATCACGACAAGGAGCATATGGCGGGTCTGACCGATCGACAGGGGATGTATACTCCTCCATGGCACCTGATACCACCTCTGATGATTTAGGGGTCTGTGTTTGCTCTTCTCCAAATTTATATTGTTTTAATGGACTTTTGAGCTTGATTTATTTTCGTTATCTTCATATTTCATATATGAATGAATAACTACATTTACAAGCTTTAGAAAACCAAACCAACAACACTGTATATCATTTCAATTATATATAAATCGCACTTCACCAGAGTACTACACCCGTCAGACGGACGTATTTCATAGCGCTCCGGATTTCTTTCGTTACAATTGGTTATAAACTTTCAAATTAAACAGGCGTCATTGTAAATATAAATATAAATTTATAAATATAAAAATATGTAATTTTTAATTGTAAGTATCATTGGTCATTTTGGTCATTTTTAGTGCTTTATATATATATATATATATATATATATATATATATATATATATATATATATATATATATATATATATATATATATATATATATATATATATATATATATATATATATATATATATATAAAGCACATTTTTTTTTATTATTCTGACTGATTCCTTGAAACATGTCTTAGAGAATACATATTGAATCTATGTTATATTTAGATTTAGATATTGCGTATTTTCTCTTTATGTTAGGAAAACAGTATTTCATCTTTCTTTGCCATATTAATTGATTTAAATAATACTCAAAGAGTATTCCATTTCTAACAAAAAGTAAAAGCAAACTTTGATCAAAAAGAAATTGTAGAAAGTGAACTTTGAATGCAGATCTTTTTGCCTTTCATGATTCTACTCTGAAAACTTTTCCTGGAAATGCAAAATGAATTATCCCTCTTTGTCCAGCGGAAGTCCAGCGGAAATATGTAAAATTTGTTTGATCCTTCAAAATAAGCAGAGAGGTAGAGATTCACAATAAATTTGTCAATAGTACACCTTCAAAAGTTTAAAAGTGAATATGAAGTACAAATTTTAATAGAATTTATGCTCTTCATTCCTTTTCTGTTTTCACTAGAAAATGATTTTCATGGGAAATTTAATGAAAAATATACAGCCGTTCTCTACTTCTTGAGTACAATATTAAAAGAAATTTTAAAAATATATATATCTGCAGGACCGTCACCTGGTTTTAGAAAAGGGTCTGGGAGGGGTTATCCCTTCCCTAAGTTAGAAAGATTTTTATAAATAAGTACCATTTTCGCTGGTTTTGAAGCTTTCTGGAATTTATTAATCTTTAAACAAATGAACACTGAGTTTCATTTCTTCTAAAAATAACATTTTCGAGGAGAGGGGGGTTGCGATCGCACCCAACACATGCATTCTTCTGACGCCCTTGGTTTGTAGAGTGAAACCCTTTGAATTCATTATTTCAGATAATTACTTAGCAAACAGTTATGTTCAGGCTAATATCTGTTAAGTTATCTCTGTTTTAAAGTTTTTGTTATATTTTTTATTAGAGGAATATAATTTGATTCCGATTTGCATGGATATAATTTAACGTAATATGGTTCGTTATTTTAGACATTTTGACCACGTGATGTATTAGATATACATGTACATGTATATGGATGGTCTCTTCAAATACGTATCTTCATTTTTCTCTATGAAACTCGTCAAGTTTGACACGTATGACTGTTGTATCATACGTTATAATTGTACATTAGTGAGCACAGGTTTTATGAATATTTACCAGAGACCTCATGACTACTCATGCCTATTTCTTACAACTCTCTTACTTTGAATGGATGTTAAATAATATAAATTATGTAAGTTAATGTAGTCCAGATATTAACGTCTACTATATCAATCCACTATACATTGAGTTGGATGTCGGTACAAATACAAATTCCCATCTCCCTATAGTCAATGCTGTATATTTCTTCTTTTTTAATTTTCCAAATTTTATTTCCTTGTCACTAAAAATGACCGGGGAATACATTTCGGATTAGATTTTTCAGGCAAGATATTTTTAAGTACATTTTGCTAATTTTGTCCCTAGTTCCATGTAAACCTCAGTTTATTACTTCCTTCATATATCAATATTGTGTATAAAAATTCAACAATATTTCAGTTAAGAAGGAAATAGCATAAAAATTCAGTGGAAGTTGACACTCAAAACTTGTGACTTTTAATTAACACTCCTACAGTTTTTTGTGCTGTTATTGTACAAACCCTTATCAGTTATTAGGTATGTAGTATTTTTATATTAATTAACACTAATTTATGCGAAAGGCAATGTTTTAACCAGTGCCATGTAATACTAGTAATTGACAGATAAAATTATTATTGTTAGTAGTAGTAGTAGTAGTAGTATTTTTAATCTCAGATATGCCATAAAATAAGAAAAATGAGGGCGTATAACGCGAACATCTTAAAGTTGATAAATACAAAACCAAATTGGGTTTAGGTAGATGTACATATTCATGATTCCCATACTTCTTGAAAGAAGAAACTGAAAATTTATTGCACTTTATTGGTAAATCTATCCAAATAAAAATATCTTATAAATTTGAAAGTATGGTCCTTGGATTTTGATTTTATTTAAAGTTCTTTTATCAAGTTCCGTTTTTTAATACAAATAAATATCATTTATTTAAGGAGGAAATTCTTCAAAACCATAAGTCAGTTTAAAATAATTTTAATATTCCCAACAATCAAAATGAATTTGAATTACCACATCTATATTGGATTCCAAAACTCCATAAAAATCCTGACAAACAAAGATACATAGCGGGTTCCAGTAAATGTTCTACCAAGCCTCTTTCTTTACTCCTCACTAAAATATTTACAGCAGTGAAGAAGAAACTTCAGAGTACTGTTTAACAGTATATTTGAGAAGTGGTGTAAATTACATGTGGATACTTAAAAACTCCAAGGAACTTTTAGAAAATTTGAAAGCACAAAATTTTAACAAAATCAATAACAACAAATGTACAACTTTTCAACATTTTATACAACCATTCCCCACGGTAAATTAAAGTCCGGTCTTTTTGACATCACAGACAGCTTCTTTTTCAATAAACATGGAAATCGTAAATAAACTTACCTTGTCATTGGTCATTTGCAATATTATTTTGTTAAGAACATTCTGATTGTACACACAAGTTCTCTGAAGTTGATATTAAACAGATGATTGAGTTTCTGATTGACAAATCTATGTAGTTTTGGGAGGTCAGGTCTTCCAACAATCTGTTGGAATTCCCATGGGTACGAATTGCGTCCCCTTATTAGTAGACCTGTTTTTTATTTATATGAAGCATAAACTTCTAACGAGAAGAAGAAAACACTTGCTGTGGCCTCAACTCGACATTAAGATATACATGTATCGACGACGTATTATCAATTAACAAAATTTACTTCCATTCATATGTCGACTCGCTATATCCCAGGGAGCTTGAAATAGAAGACACATCTGTGTCATATTTGGATATTTCCTAGAAAAAGACTTTAATGGTAACCTAACAACAAAACTTTTTAATAAATGTGATGACTTCAATTTCAATCGTCAGCTTCCCTTACTTATAAAGCAATATACCCTTATCATCTGCATATGGGGTTTTTGTTTTTCTGTTGATTCGATACGCAAGAGCATGCTCTACGTATGAACAATTTCTAAGAAGAGGCAAGCTATTGACAAACAAGTTGATGAAACAAGGTTATCAACAGTTTCGTGTGAAGTAATCATTTCGCAAGTTTTATGGTCGATACAATGACCTTGTCAGCAAATACAACCTATCATTAAGTCAAATGCTGACTGACGTTTTTCATACTAATTGTTAGGCCATTATTTACGCACTGAATTGTCTACGGACTTTTCCGTTTTTCTCGATCATGACAAGGAGCACAGGGCAGGTGTGACCGGTCGGCAGGGGATGCTCACTCCTCCATGGCCCCTGATCCCCGCTCTGATGTTTATTGAGCTCCATGTTTGCTCTGCTCCTGATTTGTATTGTTTTAATTGACTTTGAGCTTGATTTTTGTTCGTTATCTTTATATAACATTTACGAAAAATTAATGCTTTTGGAAAGGCGATTCAAACTATTCAAGAAAGACATGAAAAGGTATTTGGATAAAAATGAATATCAGAGTACATATATACATTATTGTTCTCTGTCCTCTTCTTCCTCGGTTACGATCTTTAAACATATTATATAGAAAAATACCACAAACAAATTTTCTTATCTCCAACACAAAAGAGTTACATTGCTATTTTTCGGTATTTCTTTCAACGGAAATCTAACTAGGAAATTTTTATAGTGTAAAATGTAAAAATAGACTCTTGAAAATTTTCCTTAGAAACTTTCAGTTACAAACTTTAAAATATTTCCAAAAATTTTTGAAGAAATATATATATTGAACTATATAGTTGTATTTTCCCATGTACTTTTCACCAAATTTTGTGGTTTGGAGAAGCATGAAGTTGTTCAACTAAATAGATATTACTTCTTTAGTGAGAGAGGTATCTATTAAAGATAGTTGAATTTTGGAAGAAAAATTTGTTTATGTTATTTTATCCTTTTGAAAAAGACCACTGCCAGCGATTAGTTGAATGTACTTGTATGAAAATAATTCGTTCCTCTATCAGAATTGAAAATACCCTTAAGTAGCACCTGTTAACAATATTATGCAGAAGCAGTCTTCAGACTCGGTTTTCCTTATCAGTTTATCATAGGTTTACAAACGTAAACTATCTTCCAGAAATTTTAGTGCAAAAATGGAAAGTCTAATTCAATCATAATTGTTTCGGGAGATACATAAACAAATCTTGTCTATAAATTCTTCGGTTCTCTACGTTTTCATTTTTTCATAATTGCTCAATGAATAAATGCAGTATATATTAAAATAAATATTAAGTAAAATTATATACACACTCTAACGGTTAAGATTTTTATAAATATACTACTGTGCTTGAACAGAATGGCCGTCTGGGTAACCACAACCGGATGTCACATTCCAGACGGAGCGATAAGAGCAGGGTACGAAGCAGACGGCCGTCCACTTTTTACTGCTCGGGCGCAAATTGAAGGCATCACAACACCTGGAAAATGTGGATATCATCTACCAGGAGCCCATATTCCGTATGGCTGTAAAGAAAGGGTTATCGGCCAGTACGAAGTTCTGGTCCACCCGACAAACGCCCCCGGGTTTTTTGAGTGGCAACGTGCTTCCGGCGGAATTGTCCCCGACACTGCATTCAAGACTGATAAAGAGACTTATGTGGGTCGGGCTTACTTCTCGGGGAGCCTTATTCCATGTAAGATTGCTACAGGATACCAACACAAATGTGCTTACATGGGTTATGGCGGGAAGGAACATAACACAAAGGACTATGAGGTGCTCTGCAAAATCAAATAATTGTAATTTAAAAGATTTAACGTACTGTGAAATTCCAGAAAATAAAATGTATGTCTGTTCCTTCATTACCATAGGATTTCCCGATATAAAATTTTGAAATAATAAGAGTTTTGTGATCCACGGCAAAACCTCTATCATATTAATGTAAACCTAAAAAGAATACAGTGTACTACAGATCTTGGGTTTCCAACGATATAAACAATATTGTAGGAAGATAGAAAGACTGAAATACTTTAACTAAATAGTATGGAAATACTTTAAATAGTATGGATAAACGAATCTCCAGGATTCGTGACTGCGGGTAAAAATGTCGACCTATCCAGTTGGAGAAAAATATAAAATTCTTAATGTGGGGAACTGCCCTATATACTTGGAAGTGTATATTTTCAAACAAAACTCAAACCATTTAACAATAGGTTATGATATTGATAACACCAAGTGCAACCTTAAGATCCCCTAATACAAAATACATTTCCAAGTATTTTTGTGTTTTGTTGTTTTAATAATTTATTGTTGTTTATCAAATTTATGTACATAGTGGCGAGTGCTTTTATTTTCCTTATTCGTTATTTATAAAGAGAAAATGGCGTCTTAATGGTATTTGCATTCTATGTACAAAAGGAAATGTAAATTGGATCATTTTAATTTATTTCAGTTGTGTGAACAAGTCGTCTACTTATTTAAAGAAATGGAAAAACATGTATAAGAGTGTTTTCTTGAAAACTATAGAATAATGAGGAAGTTTTCCCTGTTTCCTTTTTCTTCTTTCCAGTGATGGTATACAGTTTGCGTGGCTATGTGCGAATATTTAACACTTGCTGTACAATTTGCTCAACTGTATCTTATACCTAAACTTATCAAATGCAGAATAAAATTTTCAAATGTTACGTTTAGTTTGAGTGTGTTATTTACTGTATTTTTGCATAAATAAATATTTTTATTTTAATTGTAAACATTGGGAAAGAAATAAACAGAGACATTCAGATACTTTTTAAGGGAAAAAACGAAAATTATGTAAAGAGATATTGAGGAGCGGCTCAGCATGACCTGGACTATTATATAACCAAACTTTGCCAAATTTAAACTGAAAATATGCCGATTTATAAGAAGCTGCCCAATTTGAGTTGCTTGAACTGTTTGTAGAAATACTGCATACCGTAACAGAGCACTGATGACGAATATGGAAGGGAATTACCGCCAAATGTCTATTACGAAGTCTAAACAATTCTATATATATTCATGATATTTATCCAATATGCTTATTTTAAAGGTGCAATCTCCCACATTGGCCTTTCACAATACATTACTAGTATTTACTTTCCTACCGACACTTATATTCAAAAGTAAATTTGGGCTGCTTAAATGTCTTCCTTGAATCTCAGACCTCCACTTTCGACCCAATAACTAAAAAAACATGTAGAACAAGACTTAAAAGGAAAATTGTCCAAACTCTAAAATCCAATTATGTTGTGGGAGGGGGGGGGAGGTAGGTCCCAACTTCTTCAATACCAAATTATATTCATACACTACTACATTACCATTATTTGACCATACTGCAACAAAAAGTGGGGGACCGGCCTTTCAATGAACGTTTTCAATAGTAAAAAGTTATGTTTGGAAAAAAGTGGGGGCACCCCCCCCCCATCCCCGATGCTACGTGCCTGGTTTTTCAGAAGAAAAAAATACTACAAAAATGACCAAATGTAATTTCAAAAGATTATGTTACGTTATTATATAAATTACAAATAAAGTAAAATTAATGCAAGATAAAGGAAGTAAAAACTAAACATAAACAGCTTATCTGAGATCTGTAAGATTTATATTGATAATTAATGTCAATAGAGAAGGAATATCAGAATTACCTCATTCTTCGGTTCCTGAAAGTATCCTCTTTTCTTTGACCCTATACAGACTGCTTGATTATTAGTTGATTACTTCCGACTAGTTTTGGTTATATCCCCTTTTTTAAGTCGTGCAATCAAATTCCATTTAAAAGATATTAAGTGGTTAACTATAGCTTTAATTACGTAAAATTCCTATAAAGCGGATTTGATTATTTTACACTTCATATCACAATATGCAAAGTTTTAAACATACAGGATATTGATTAATTGATAAACAAGCCGGTTTAAAAATGTCTTGAATTTTATGCCTTTCACGATCTCTGTATTTTATCAACTCCTAGTGTGTGAATTATACATGTGCATTCTATCACTGCAGATAAAACTATTTTGCAAATTCAATCAATTTAAAAGAACTTGTTCATAGATTGTTTAAAATTTTGACAATACCTTTTATATCTGATGTGTAAGGCGTGAATAAACATGGTATTGTCTCGACAAAACTTTAACTATTGTCTAGAAATATTAACAAAAAAATCAAGCTATTCCTATTTTTGTACTGTAAAATGCCTCGTCACACTCACTTAATTTTAATTCAATCTCTGACTGTACCTCGGATAAATAAACACTCCTTATCCCACTGTTATACACAAGATTATTTTCCTACCGGCGCTATTCATATGGGGTATACCTCAACTGTGATATTTTTCTTACCATAAAATTTAGTGTGTATTTACATTGGAGAAGGCAATGGAACTTGCGGGGACTAAACCTGAGAAATGTTGTATAAATACAACATACCTTTTTTATTGACATAATTTGTTTAAAGATAGGCGAAAGAGATTATTGATTGTGCAACGGGGTTTGAATGCCTAAATAAAATCGGATGCCATTACTGATAATTTAAAATTTCCTATCGAATTAACATCCAATGGTCGTTGAAAGGTAAGTAAGCGTTCCTCTCTCTCTCTCTCTCTCTCTCTCTCTCTCTCTCTCTCTCATATATGAAATGCTAATCCAGACTGTTTGAATTCAGGGAGGATGTCGAAGTCGATTTTAAATGAAGACTGTCAGCGCTTCTTCAGGGTGGGAATCCTGATTCTCAAACATGGAACAGCACTGCTGCAGGTGCTTCTTGATCTGCAGCTTCATCAGCTGCATGTCTCTCTCAGGGAGCTTCTAACTCAATATCACCACAAACTCTTTCATTCATGGCAGAAAAGTGCTTGCTGTGCTTGCCCTACCCAAAAGGCTTCTTACTTTTCTGGCTGTTTACTAAAAGAACAATACGAAGATCTTTTTGTATTTGTTTCCAAACACGGTCGCGACTGTAGAAATATTAAATCCTCTGTACATGGATTATGCAGCTGTCGATACGAAGCCATAAATGACGTAACCAGCAGAAGTCTGGATATCATCATTACGTCTATGCTTCTGCTTAATTTGGAAAGTTTCCACTTTGATAATGACGTCAGAGAGGCAATATCTGAGCTACGGAGACTCAGAAATGAGATAGTTGCAAAAGGTTCTACCATGAGTTTCACAGAAGGGGAGTTTATTTTGTTCTGGAATCGAGCAATTCCCTCTATGACCAAAATTGCCAAGGAGATTTCTGATCAGTGTCTGAAGCAAACAGTTGAAGACATCCGGGTTCTAAAGGATGAACCTCTTCATCTATATTCAGCCATGGTTGTAATCACCACGATACGTCACGGCAACCAAAGAGAGATATCATTTTTAAAGGTAAAGTTACATCTTAAACACATTTAACACAACCCTCCCATTGAAAACGGGAAAATACTACTAGATATTGAATGATTGTCAAATAAAACTATGTATATATTTTTTCCAGGACTTGGAACATGCACAGGTATTGCTTGGCGACAGACGTCAAGGTGAACTCTTACCAATGCTTGAATTTGGTTTGGAGGTAGTCTGTTCAACTCTTGGTCTTTCTGATCCTGCACTTAAGGTATTCCTTTCTCCACATGATTACTTAAAAATAGTTCTCTCCAAAAGCATGAATCTGTTAGCTTATACCAGTTACTTTCGAAGATGTGTTGGTGTAAGTCATAATTATTCTTTATGTTGACGTTTACATACATGTTTCAATATTGCAATAGGAAATGCAAAATTCTAAGTTCTTGCTGCATAATGGGAAAATCCCTGATCTAATCAAAAAGCTCTCCAGTCCTTGGATGAAAAAGCTGATAAACGCTAGGCTCTTGGTCCAAGAACAGACTGAAATCTGGCGCGAAGATCTGTGGTCTTCAGACCCTCTAAGTAAGTCACGTGGTTAATAAATAAATATACTCTCAATTATTCCATTCCATTCACATTCATATTTTCAAAAAAACCGAAATTTGTTTTAGGATCAAAGACAAATTCAAATTTAGGATTCATATCGTGCGGTCAAAACATCAGAATGTCCAACGATCGTCGAAGTGCAATATGGAATTTTATAGAATCAGAAGGTGTGACATTCAGTAATCGAGCAATGGAGCACTTAGAGCATGTGCAACTTGAAATCACAGGAAGTGGGGAGGTCGCCATCGGTGTAGTAGAAAGTGATCCGATGATTCAAAAGCAACAGTTATCTTCTTTTTCTACATATTCCGAGTTTAAGACTGCCATCGTTGTGAAAACATTCGAGTCTTCCAGCCTAGTAAAGTTGTTTCGAAATTCTGATGAGTTAGTGATTTGTTTTGATAAACAACGATATGTGTTATACATTGAGCGAGGACAAAAGATGTGGCTTGTATTTTACTTGCGGTTTGGAGATGTGAAAATTGAACTACGTGAGTAAAACTTCAGCCAAAAGAACTACGGCTGGTAAACAAACCATCTGAAGCCTCATAGTTTCAAATAATTAAAATCTTTTTCTTGCTTTTTTTAAACTTAATTTGGTGACGCTAAATGATTTTAAATGAAAAACAAACGTATTTTTTAAATTTATTTTTTTTTTGAGAATGTGTTAAATTTGTATTTTTTAGACTCCTCGGCAAATCACGCCATGAAGTTTCATGACGTCATGGGAAGCAATGTACAGGCGACTGGGGGAAACAAACGTCTGCTAAGTCTAAAACACGTCAACCCACGATCCGTGTGTCGTCTGAGCAGGCGAATTCATTGTGGCGAGGAGGTCACTGTGTGCATCAGACAAGAGAAACCTACCGATGTCCATGCCATTCCATGCTACATTCTTATAGGCATCAGTGCTGATGGACTCCAAAATGGGTCATTACATGACGACCAACCCTTTACTTCGGCATCTAGGTCGTGGCTCATAAGAAAGAAATTAGATGAGCCAGTATGTTTCGGAAAGATCCAAGTCTCTATGTCTTTTAGTGGAGTACTGACATTCGTTACCTCAAAAAGTGTAACTGCAACCGTGCAGCTTAGTGAAAGTGAAAGAAAGATGGGCGTTGCGGTGGTTTTCGAATTATTTAGGACAGAACTTGAAATCGCTAATTATAAAATTAAACGGTAAAACGTTGTTTGACAAATATATTCCTATGTAAACTAGAAAAATTTTAACATGGTTATTCAATTTTTTTTTTTAAATAATTCTTTCCAAATCTTATATGGTGACTTTTACAAATTAAGATGTAGTTTTCTATGGTTTGAAAATTCATGTATAGCTCAATATCTATGCGTACAACCGTACAAGTATTTCTTCTAACATAAATCACTTATTCCTATCAAAACGCTGGAAATGTGCAATTACCAAAGGTTATCTTCGCACTGTGAAAATATCAAATAATCCTGTCCCACTCCTGAAATAATTTCCATATTCAACTACAAAACAGATCGTTTGAACTCTACTGGGGATCTAGTCACTTATTTTAGAATGACGTTGCCACACGTTTCTAACCTCCCCTCCCCAACAAAAAGAGGAAATTACCTATGTCCACCGAGCTGAGGTGTGAAATGGTCAGGTTGTTTCTCAATACAAGTTAATATTTTGAAGAAAACAATATTATGCTTATGAATAAAATTAGACATAAATATATAATGTTATATATAACTGATAAATTGGATAACTTTTTTTTTTGAAACATGGTTGTCTGTGCCAAGTTGGAGTTGACAATTACCGGTGATAATTCTATTTAATTAATTCAAGCATATATATTTCCACTTTTCCTGTTTTAAAACTACCAAAATCTGCTAAAATCTTTTGAAAATGAGACACGTCAAAAATCCAAAAGTAAAACCTCGGGTACGAATTCTTGTGCTATATGTGAACGAATATTTGTGTTATGACCTGTAGTGGTAGCATTTGCATGAAAAAAAAATGAATATTGAAAATAGATAGGCTAAGGCCATCTTTGAAATAATGTTTGTTTGCCCTCTCCCGACTCGGGGTAAAAAAAAATTGGGTCGGTAGGTAGACGGGAATTTTTTTCCCCTAGAAAAGTTCAATAAACATAGTGACGAACGAGAAAATTCAGGAATAAAGAACATATTCAAATAATTAACATTTATGCTTTTCACTGTATAATCAAAAGAACCCCACCTTAACAACATAAATCCTGATATAGAGCTAGTAACAATCTTGAAAGAGGCACCCTTGCTCATTATAACCATTCACTTACTTTGTCTACTAAGTATAAGAGAAGAGATTTTCAAAGAATTTATACATTTTCACTTTATGATCAATAGAGCCACGCCCTTAAATCAGAACCCCTGTCCCATGGGCAATGTTTTACAATTTGGAAGAGGCGCTCTAGCTTATCATAACCATGCACTTAGTTTATCTGCTAAAAATCCAGGAGCAGTGAAGAAGATTTTCAAAGAATGAATGCATTTTCTCTAGACAATCAATAGAACCCCATCTTAACAGTAAAACCTCTCCCTGAACTCATGAAATTTACAATTTTGGAAGAGGTATTCTTGCTTATCAAAACCAATTAATCAGTTTGGATGAAAATACCCAGGACCGTAGAAGAAGATTTTTTTTTTTAAATTAATATACTAAATGATCAATAGAGCCCCGCCCTAACACAAGAACTTCTGACCCTAGGCGCAATGAATTTCATAATTTTAAAGAGGCACCCTTGCTCATTATAACCATGTGCTTAGTTTATCTGCTTTATATCCAGGAGCAGAGAAGAAAATTTCCAATTATAATGCATTTTCTTTATATAATGAATAGAGCCCCGCCCTAACACCAGAACCCCTCATCCAGTGGCCATGACATTCACAAGAGACATCCTTGCTCATCATAACCATACAATCAGTTTGTCTGCTAAATAAACAAGGAAAGAGAAGATCTTTAAAGAATTTATGCATTTCACGATATGATCAATAGATCCCCGCCCTTACACAAGAACCCCTGACCTAATTTTGAATGAATGAATTTCACTATTTATAAGAGGCACCCTTGCTTACAATAACTATGCACTTACTTTGTCTGCTTGATATACAGGGGGAGAAAAAAAAAGATTTTTGAAGAATTTATGCATTTTCCAGTATATAATCTATACAGCCCCACCCTAACACCAGAACCCCGGATACTGGGAGCATGAATTTCACAGTTTTATTAGAGGGCTCAATACTCATTACAATTATGCTAACAGTTTAGCTACATGATGTCCAGGAGTAAAAAAAGAAGATTTTCAAAAATTGCATTGATTTTATGGGTTTAGCCCCATCCTTCAGGCCCCAGGGGGCAGGGACCATGAATTTTATTTTATTTATTTTTTTTTTTTTTTTTTTTGGTTCCCCCTTTACCCACAGATGCTATATGCCAAAATTGGTTGAAATTGGTTCAGGGATTCCAGAGGAGAAGAAGCTAAAAATGTTCAAATGTTAACGCACGACATACATGTACGACGGACGATGACGGACGAAAACAAATAGCAAAAGATCACATGAGTTAGTCTGGTACCCTTCCCACAATTCCGTTCGTGCACTCTCTATTCAATAAAGAGACTGCGCGAACGGAATTGTGCGAAGGGTACCAGACTACACATAAATGACTCATGTGACATAAAAATCATTAAATAACTTGTTTTCAAATCAGTAGTGCAACATTGAACAATATCTTTACTGTCGTCACTGAGGGAAATGCAACGATCTAATTCTGACAACAGGATACAAAAGAATATTCCGTAGTAGGAATCCAGAATACTTAAAAAAATGACATCGACCTAAAGATTAATTTAAATCAAAAAGTGTTTTTATTGAAATATGAAGGCATTCAAAAAGAACATTTATTAAACTATAAATAGAAGTTTCTCATGAGACTGAAGCTTTACTGGTTTGCAGCCAGTACGTAAAAATTAACGACACTTTGAACCATTTTTTTTCTAGTTTAACATGTACAGAAATACATGTATGCAGATGTTTTCTAAAATGTATGTCACAGCCTTATATATGTGGTAAAATACAACACAACACGACTGCTGGGTTCGATGTTTATATATAATATATATTCTACGATTGTGGAATTTTATAATATAGAAGGAAGGGTGACCTGAAATATAACAACAGGTATTAAATATCTCTCGCCTCACTCACACTTTTACGCGGATCATAATTTAAATTTTATAAATTTGGAGAATTTATAAAATACTTGATTGAAATAAAATGATCAAATAGATATTGAATAGTAATTGAATCCTTAGAAATAATTTACCAGTTATTTCTTACCGTAAATCCTAGACAAAGTTCACAATTATCGTGAGATAAAGTTGTGTTGGGGAGAGAGAGCGTCTTCTCTCCCCAAAGTCTTAGGTTGGAGTGCTTGAGAATTAGTATTGGCGCGAATGCGCAGGGGACAGAATAAAACCAGTTTGACCACTCACACACCCGTACTCTCACTGACCACTCACCCGTATAAATGAATGAATGAATGAATAAGGCAATGAATGAACGTAGTAAATTCCGTAGTGAGAACGGAATTCACTAGTTACTAAAATAATATAATGCCTTAGACAAATGTATGAATATGATATGAATGATAATTAGTAATATTAATTAATTAATTAATTATAATTCACCCTGTGACATTCTCCTCCTCTTTGAGAAAAATGTGTCCTCACATTTCATCAAATTACATTGTAAAAAATATATATCAACTGAAATAAAAGTATTAAATATTAAAAATATCAACACACATATAATTGATAATTAATGTTTTGCAACATCTTCTGCTCTATAACAGAAAGCATTTTGTATTAGCACAAGCTGAAATACAAAATCATTCAATCAATTCATATCAATGTATTATTGTCATAGAACTGGAATCATGAATGGCTAAGCTGAAAAGCAATCCATGATTAATAAAGTATCCTAAAAACAAATCCGAAATATGATCAACTAGCGATCATGTAAATCATAAAACTATCCACTATCACATACGTCCTAAAACTATCAACTTTAGATATCTACGTCATAAAACTATATACAACTGACTATCTGAAATATACTATCTGAAATCTAATCCCTGTGATAATCCTGTGACATTCTCCTCCTACACATACCATACTTGAGCATCATGCTCCCCTACAACCCAATTTCCATATCTATCAGGAGGATTTTTAACTCTTGTGGAACGTCATATACTTGGTTGAATAGTAGACGGGCTCGATTCACTACCTCGCGACAAATTATCATGTATTTCGGACAAATTTGTACTCGATATTGTGTTAAAAGAAGAACCACTGTCCTGTATTTGATATGCAGGGTCAACGGAAGAAGAATTTTCTAACCTTGACATAGGTCTACTAAAATCTGAAATATTAAATGTGTTAAATGTCAAACCATCTGATCTCATTTGTTCATTTGAACTATTGAGATGAGTATTCTGGTTAACACGTGAAGTGTTATGAACATTTTTACACTTATTTGTATTCGCTGGTTTTGTCACCAGTAACACCTCTGATTCAGAATCACTTGATTCAGAATCTGTTCCACTTTCTGTAAACACACTATGTTTTTGTTTAACAGTTTTCTTACTTTTCTTGGTCTTATCATTTGTAAGACAGTCATCATCTGACAAGAACATAAAAGGTAACAGTAAGTTTCTGTGAAGTAATCTTACTGGTCCTTTGCCAGATGACTTCTGTACTTTATAAACAGGAATGTCACTGTTGGGAATATCTAACACAACATATGGATCTTTTTCCCATTTATCAGATAGTTTACTTTTTCCAGTCTTTACTAAAAGACGAACTAGAACCCTGTCTCCGATCTCTAACTTTGAGAATCGGACTCTATTATCATAGTTCTCTTTGTGTCTTGTAGTATTTTTTTCGACATTAGATCTTGCGACATTATAAGCAAAGTTTAATCTTTTCTTCAATTTGTCAACATAAGTTTGATGACTAACTGGCTTATCAGACATTTCTGAAGGATCTAAATTTAAAAATGCATCAATGGCCAACTTTGGATGCCAACCAAACATTAAATAATGTGGAGAAAAACCAGTTGTATCTTGTTTGGTTGCATTATAAGCATGAACCAACGGTAAAATATAAGATTTCCAATCATCTTTCTTGTAATTTTCTAAAGTTC